AAATAAAATAAAATAAAATAAAATAAAATAAAATAAAATAAAATAAACAAGCACGACTGGGGGGACATGTCTCCCTCCTGATCCTGCCTAGAAGCACTTACCCTGTTGTCCTAAGTTTGTATATTTTGATCTTCTTAAATGTCTCATGTGGTTACACATTCTCCATGAGTGCGTACTTGATCACTTCTTTTTCTCAAAGGTCATGTACTAATTCATAACAATTTTTAGTCTTTTTTGGCTGGAATTATTTACAATTCAAACTTAATTTTGTATTTGTTACTTTTATTATTTTTTTTTTAACGTTTATTCATTTTTGAGAGACAGAACAGAGCATGAGTGGGGGAGGGGCAGAGAGAGAGGGAGACAGGATCCAAAGCAGGCTCCAGGCTCTGAAGTGTCAGCACAGAGCCTGACGGAGGGCTTGAACTCACTGACCATGAGATCATGACCTGAGCCAAAGTCGGAGCCTCAATTGACTGAGCCACCCAGGTGCCCCTAATTCAAACTTTAAATGCAGTCATTTTCCAGCCATCGTTAGAAAGTGAGTATAGAGTTATGATTGAGAGCGTGGGCTCTGATACCATGCTATGTTGGCCACTAAATAAGTGGCCTTCCCCTCTTAAGTGGGGGCACAATAGCCCTGATCTCATAGGACTGTAGTGAGAAATAAAAAGAATCAGTGTTTATAATGTGCTTAAAATAGTGCCTAGCGAATAGTAAATGCTTCATCAGTGTTAGCCACTATTGTTTTGATCCCAATTTGTGGAAGCTACTACCCTGATCTGTGCAATTCTGAAACCTAAAGCTTGTTCTGTGGGGCAATTCTTGTGATTTCAAATACAGTTCCCTGTTACACTTTCTTCAATGTTTGTGTCTCTCGGTTTCTTTGCTTTCTTCCTCTCTTCACAATGGCAATGGGAAGGATTTAGAGGTAGGATTTTGTAACAGTGTGACATGCTATACTGAATGATGTGGCTTATTCTTAAGTACAGCATCACAGCAGCATTGTATTTTATGCTGTGTTAGGCATTCCTTAGATGTATAAAATGAGAAAATAGTAGTGTGTTATCCTTATTAGCTTACTTTCTGCCACGTCTTGTGTAGGAATGACTAAAACCCTACCGTGATTTACACCAATACATATTTGAAGATTGGAATTATTAATTAAATCAGAATTTTAAAAAGAATGTGTGGCATGAAATCAGAGTTGATAAACATTCCTGTGCGAATTTATTTTAAAATGACTTTTTTTTTTTTTTTTTTTGCTCAGTTGGTTGAGCATCTGACTCTTGATTTCGACTTGGGTCAGGACGGTTCATGGGATTGATCCCCTCATTGGGCTCCGTGCTGGCAACGCAGATCCTGCTTGAGACTTTCTCCCTCCTTCTCTTTCCTCCCCTCCCCTGCTCATATGTGCTCTCTCTCAAAATAAATAAATAAATTTATTATTATTTTTTTTTTAATTTTTTTTTTTCAACGTTTATTTATTTTTGGGACAGAGAGAGACAGAGCATGAACGGGGGAGGGGCAGAGAGAGAGGGAGACACAGAATCGGAAACAGGCTCCAGGCTCTGAGCCATCAGCCCAGAGCCCGATGCGGGGCTCGAACCCACGGACTGCGAGATCGTGACCTGGCTGAAGTCGGACGCTTAACCGACTGCGCCACCCAGGCGCCCCTCAAAATAAATAAATAAATTTAAAATTAAATAAAATGACATTTTTATTTTATTTAATATTTTTAACGTTTTATTCATTTTTGAGAGACAGAGCATGAATAGGGGAGGGGCAGAAAGAGCCGGAGACACAGAATCCAAAGGAAGCTCCAGGCTCTGAGCTGTCAGCACAGGGCCCGATGTGGGGCTTGAACCCACAAACCATGATATCATGACCTGAGCTGAAGTCGGACGCTTAACTGACTGAGCCACCCAGGCGTCCCATAACGTTTTTATTTTAAAAGGAATATGTATTAATGTACAAACTTGAGAAATATAGAAAAATATTAAGAAAATTTAAAAATCAGTTATTATCCCATTACCCAAAGATTGTTAACACCCAATTTCTGTTTTGAGTTGGAAATAAGTATTTACAAGTGTAGACCATTTAAGAAATGACAAGGCATTTTTATCAGATGATCTCCTGTGATCTTGACAGCAGCTCTGAGGTGAGCAGTTTATGTGTGTGTGTGTGTGTGTGTGTGTGTGTGTGTGTGTGTGTGTGTATGTTTTTTTTTTTTTTTTGCAGTTTATATTCTATTTTTTTAAAATGTTTATTTATTCCTGAGAGAGAGACAGAGTGTGAGCAGGGGAAGGACAGGGAGAGGGAGACACAGTATCTGAAGTTGAGTCCAGGCTCTGAGCTGTCAGTCCAGAGCCCAATGTGGGGCTCTAACCCACAAATCGTGAGATCATGACCTGAGCCAAAGTCGGACGCTTAACCCACTGAGCCACCCAGGCACCCTGGCAATTTATATTCTAAATGGAAACTTAGCCTCTGAAAGGCTGATGCTTGGTCGAGTTCAAAGAATTGGTGAGTAGAAGACCCAGAATTTGTGTTGCAGTCCTTAACTTCAAACTCAGTGTTCTTACCAAACACAGCAGAGTAGATAATGTATGATTTATTTTTATTTTTTATTTATTATTATTATTTTTTTTTTTGAGAGAGAGAGAGTGAGAGCATGGGGGAAGGTCAGAGAGAAGAGGAAGAGGGAATCCCAAGCAGGCTCAACACTGCCAACACAGAGCCTAATGCAAGGCTCGATCCCACAAACCGTGAGATCCTGACTTGAGCTGAAATCAAGAGTCAGACACTTAACTGACTGAGCCACACAGGCGCCCCCATATTGTATGATTCTTTTATTTGAAGTCCTGGAAGAGGCAAAGCTAACCTATAGGAAGAGAGGTCAGATCAGTGGTTTCCTAGATGGTGGGGGCAGGGAGGTGTTGAGAAATGATGGGAGAGGGGCTTAAGACACTTCTGGAGGAATGAAATGTTCTGTAACTTGATTTGAATGTTGGTTACACAGATGTATACATTTGTCACAACTCATCAAATAATATGTTTAAGACCTGTACGTATCACTGCATATACATTATACTTCAATTTTAAAGATCATTTTTCTATTTTAAGTGATAGGAATAGGCAGTGCTGTAACACCTTAATGATACAAAAAAATCATTACATTATTTCATTTGTTTTGATATAAATGATCTTAATGATCTAAGCAGTCATCTTCCCTTTCCTTGTTTATTAATTTCCCGTTGCTGCTGTAACAAATTACCACACACCTAGTGGCTTAACGCAACTCAATTTATTACCTCACAGTTCTACAAGTCAAAGGACCCAAAGATGGGTGTTGCTGGGCTAAACTCAAGGAGTTGGCAGGGCTGAGTTCCTTCCAGAGGCTCCGTGTGAGAATCCATGTCCTTGGTTCAAAATGATGGTTCAAAAAAAGGATTTTCAAATGACTCATAAGCATATGAAAAGGTT